CACACAAGCTAAACTATCCATCATGCACTATGCTTCTTATCTCGTAATGGATTTTTTGCATCCGCGTGACCACAAACGACCGCAAACTGTTTACTATTTCTTTTGCAATTTCCACACTAAAAACTATTTCAACTGAGACCACTTTGTTAACTGATCTACTATGAGAGAAATAACAAACCATACAATTATCACATAGTTAAAGTTCAGTGGGGTATGAAAGTGGTCAGTTATGATTCTAATATGAGACGTGGTTAATGGAGTTAGAGGACATTGGAACATTAGAAGAATTTGATCATGGATGGAATGTTGGAAGAACTACTTGAGCATCTTGCATTTGTCGAGTGACGAAGTTTCAGTCAGTAGTCACAAGATACGAAACGAAAATAAGGTGTTGGCTGATAAGAATGTGAATCCTCATTGAATGAGGTGTTCGGTATGTATTAGGTTCTCTTAATCGCTGTCGACCTGGACGTTCGCTACTTTTCGAATAGAATAAAGGAAGATATGATAGAGCTGAAGAAACACAAACTAAGATATAACAGCAATGCATACATGATACAGCTAAACATTGGAACAATTTGTGTTTCTGGATGCACACTATTCTAATGCAGTTTGCATGTTGAATACATCAATCGGGTGATAAGAGCCGAGACTGATTTAAACAGGGTAAATCCATTTACTCCTTATTCTTCCTTAAAACTTAAGATTCAAAATTATTTTATAATTTTCGATCCGGTGAATTGATTCTTTCTCTCATTGATGTAGATTTATGTATTCTACATATATAATTCATCTATTTTTTTTTTTTATAAAAATAAATTTCCCGTCAGAATTTCAATCCAACCAATAATACGCTTTGGTCGTCATCATCATCATCATCATCGTCAACAAAAACAATGATAACAACATCAATGACGACGAACTCATCATCAACAACAACAACAACAACAACAACAGCGGCAGCAACATCGATAGCGGCATGCAATCCATCACCACAAAATTCTTACATAATACATTATCATCATCATCACCATCATCATCATTATCCTGATCGTGGTTACATAATACATGAGTTCAATACAACAACTAACAATTACAGACGAAATGCATCTGATCCGGCGAGCTAATTATTTGTGCTGCCCTGATATGTCAGTGGTTTTGCATTTTCTAACGTTTCTCCGTTACGTGCTATTTGGTTGTCGTATGTTGTGTTGTATGGGAGGATCCTGATTTTTCACTTGTGTATGTCGAGTCCTACTTGTGCATAGGCTGCTGATAGTTTGGCTGTCTTCCACTAAATTTTCTTTTGAATGTGGTATAGAAGGGCTGGATCATCTGCGAAGCCCAGATGGTCCAGCTACATTCCACGTTATTCTGTGCTTCCTCTCATATGTTAAAGTCTGCATATTCCTGTCGACCACCAACAGAAACACTTAAAGTAAGCGACCTTGCCGGACACCGGTAAACACTTGAAGCGAGTGAATGGGCCTTCCTACATGCACGATCTTGCAGTATAGTCAGTCATAAGAATCCTGTACGATGTTGACTATCTTCTCAGGTTCTGCACAGTGTCATCCTGTTCATCGTTAGATCTTCCATAGGTTTAGGTTTGTCAGCTCTGATGCTCTTCTTCACTGGCTTCTGTATATTCAGGTTGTTTCTTGGTGCTCTCCGCTCTTGTTCTGAACTTTCCATTGATGTAGATGTGGTCAACTTGGTTTTGTGTAGTGTGATCTGGTGAAATCCATGTGGCTTGGTGTATGCGTTTATGTTGGAATATGGTGCCGCCTATGACCAGTTTGTTGAAGGCACATGGGTTTGCTAATCTATCACAGTTTTCGTTCCTTTCTCCCAGACCATGTTGCACCATGATTTCTTCATATTCACAGTTCTCCTTTCCAACCGTGGCGTTTGGGTCCCCTGACCGAATAGTCAAATCGTTTGCTGTGCAGAAACTAATGTTCCAGCTAATATAGCTCAGTTGGGTCATCACGATAGGCAAGCCCCACCAACATGTCAAGGTAGCAGCTAAGGTCGGGAATAAATACTATATAGCTAATATAGTATTTAGTGAATCACTCCTCGGTACTCCATCACTTCATACGTATGCGGTCACATAGATTCTGAATTTATCATCTTGACTATGCGCCAGTTGTATTCGTTTAGATTTCAAAACTAAATACACCATGAGATAAGGGTCCCGGTTACTTGTACCTATTGCTTTAATATTAGATAACTTTGTGAACAAAACAGCTAGTTCAAAGCCTGTTAAGTTATTTTTTTTGTAGTTAATGTAGCCAGTCGTCCACTATTGAGTGGGAAATATTTTGGCTAGATGGAGTATTGTGGGATAATATGATTTCTTCTAGAATGGTGTGCTGTCACAGATCATAAACATATGGTAGACACGATCCACCAAATAAA